TGCATCTGCATCATCTTTAATCATGGGGAACCAAAAATCAGAGGTGCACCTAAGACTTTCCCTGCAGCTCTGGGCTCTCCAGCTGCTATTGCCTGAAGATGGACTTCCCTGTCTTAAATGAATCCTGCCATTCTGAAGGGTGCAGCAAATTAGAGTTTACAGGGACTTTGCAAGAGAACAACATCTCTCATTTCCACTGATCCAGGCAGGGTGGTTTCAGGGAAGGCATTGGCCAGTGGCTGGGAAGCTTGGAGTTCAGGTTCTGGATTTGCCATAAAATCTTAAAGGATCCAGTCAAGTCATTAAAGCCTCCCTACGTGCTGTATGTTGAGACAGAAACGTCATGGAGCAAGTATGCAGCTGACCAGAATCCAGACTTAAAAGCCTTTGGTGCACAGTCCTGCAGAGCCTGGGTGATGTTAGCTGCCCAGTTGCCTGTTTGCCCCCAGTCCATCACCACTGCTGGGAGCTGAGTGAGCCAGCCATGCTCCAAAATAAAGCAGTACAAGCATTTTCACATAGCCATTCCCTGTGCTCCTGGGCTGTGGGTGTTCAATGAGAGCCATCAGTGAACAATAAACTCATTCACATGGCGCCTCCAGTCCTCAGCTGGGCACAGAGCCCACTGTGAGGAGTGATGGAGGTGCGCGGAGGAACAGGAGCAAGACTTGCCCGACACACTGATTATCACAAGAGAGAAGCAAGGGCTCCTGACTTGCTAGGAGCACTCCAAAAGCAGGTGCCTAAAGGCTCAGAGCTTATGAGCACTGCTCACTGCAGAGCGGGCTCCTGTCAGCTTTGGTGATGACACAGATGGGGCACAGACCCCTGAGCTTGCAGAAGCAAGCACCACTGACCCTTTAGGAGCAGCAAAAGGAGCACTCCAAGGCCTGGCAGTTACAGACACCCCCTTGAGGGCCATAACTGCTCATCAAACGGGACTGAAGCCAGCATCCCTAAAGCCTCCCGTCCTTCTGGAGTGAGCCTGTCCCAGTCTGGAGAGCGCTGAAGAGGCTCACGTGCACCCAACACAGTTTAGAGCATCCTCAGGCACCCTGTTTGCATAAGGAATGCAGCTGTGCCAGAAGAGACACAAATGTTATGCTGGCACAGGTGACAGTGTGTAGGATAGCTTGATGGGGTGGACAGGGTAGATGTGTAACTGAGACAGGCACTGGTTTCAGTCACAGAAAAAGGTTGCATCCCTTAAACCCCTGACTCCGCATTCCTGCTTATTCCATCCTCCAAAACCAGCCACGGTCACGCTCACATAAATCAGTTACTGTTCATGTTATAAGGTTATGCAGGACATGAATTTTCAGCCGAATTTAAAGGTAAGCTCAGCCTAGCTGCTGAAGATTGCATTGGATTTGGTACAGAGCTGTACACATTGCCCTGTTTTCCCCAGCTGCCAATTACACCAAGACAATGAGCTAAACACAACAGCTGTGCTGATGATCAACTGAGGAGGAACTACATATGTTTTTATAGAGCCTAGCTCATGTTAATATGAATCGAAGCATTTCTGACTCTGATTATCAAGAGTTTATAAAGGGCCTCAGATTGTTACCAGGGCTGGCGTCTCTCATTCATGTCTCCACTTTGTGGTTAATCCCAAGCCTATCTCCTTGTATGTGCAAGAACTTGTTCAAAAGGACACGTGCCAAAGTCCCAAACAGGCCCACACCCCTCTCCCCTCCCAGTTCAAACATGTTAACTAGCAAGCAAACACTTAATCTTTCTACCAAGTCATTGTTTTAATGGCTTCTGTTAGGAAGACCACCTCTTCTCCACTGACAAACAATGCTTGTCTCCATAGGGAAGCACTGCAAACACCACCAATGCTCTCTAGAGCCCTGGAAGACCCTCAGATAAGAAGCGTGAAGCTTGTTTCTTTGCTTAGAGATAGTAAAAAAGGAATGCCAGACACCTTTCTTTGAAGAACTGGGCTTCAAGGCACTTCAATTTCCATTACATTTAAGATCTAACCTTAAAACCACAATAATAACCTTCCAAACCTCTCAAGGCTCACATCTCTTGCCATTTTAGACTATATGCACAGGGCTGCATTACACGGGACATGCGCATAACTGTGGTGACAAGAGGTTGGTCTGAGAGGCCTTATTAGGGATGCAGATAAGCAAGGGTGGCACCAACACACCCCTCATCAGTAACAGTGCATTCAGCACCTCTTCTCCCTGGGTCTGGAGATGGTCTTGTGTGACAAGTGGGGCAAGGAGTAGGCATGAAGCCACAGTGCCACTATAAGAGGGAGCACAAGATGGGACAGGTGTACAGATCTCACACTGAGGGGAAAAACTCATGGGATGGAGGGCAGGGAGTGCTTACAGAGAACAGAGGAGGAACAAGAGATGAGCAGCTCTTCCTTGTCACTCCATAGCTGAGGGTACAGTGACCAGGTTTACTCGTGCCTGCCCTCTGCAGATCACCCTCATGTCCCCTTGAGCCTGGGTATGCTGCTCTTCATGTCTCACACATGCTTCCTAAATCATAGGAGAATGTGGATATTTAAGCAGCATCTTCACCAAGAGAAGACACTCTTCATTGTGGCCTTGGCAGGAAAAAAACCCTGCCACACATCAAGATCATGCTTCAGAGCTTTAACAGCTTGACAAGAGTCAAGACATCTTCCTATGCAGTGGCCTTGCAACCTCATTTGCAAAGGCTGGGAAAGGAAACCCATTCCCAGGAGAGTTTCACAATTCCTCCTTCACTTCCCACTGCTCAAGTCCAACAGCCTGATCCCTTCCAGCCCCATGGGTGCCACCCTGGGAGCCACCAGCCCCAGGCTCACACCCCAACTTCCCTACCTGCTCCTCCCAGCAAGGATTCCTGTGGGTGCTTCACCCTGTCTTGAAACGGGAGAGACACCTCTTGCATGCCAGGATAGAGTTTGGATGTAAGCACATCCTTTCCTGAGCTTAAAGGAAAGAAACTTTGCTGTTTGCTGATGCTTGCAACCTGCATTTCTTAAGTAATAGAAAAGATCTTGTAGTCAAATCTGTTTTCCCATAACACCATTTCGTTGCTCAACAGCCCTCTCTATCCATCTCTATCATTACAGGATTTCCCTGCACAAGTGCTCTGCCTTACTAGTAGCAGGGATGAAAACTCCCCATGGCAGCAACAAGATACCCCCCCCAGAACAGACACATATCCCCGGTGCTTATTGCTAACAACTTACTTACCTGCTTCTTCCACCTGCTTCTCAGGGCTCCCAACTCCCATGGGTTCTCCCCAGCCCAGCACAGCCATTCCCTACCTGCCTCCTCCATCCACCCCACCATGCTGGGGACACCTCCTGCCACTAAACAAGGTGCTGCCATCACCTGTGGCTGCCCTACAGAGCTGGAGGTGCCTCGGTCCGCTCATTACCACTAACACAACAGGGACTGGCAGGGCTCCGCAATCAGTTGCACTTGCTATTCATTTCCCATGTGCAGAACACGTCCTCACTGCTCTGAGGGAGCAGTGTGCATATTTCAAAAGACAATATACAAAACATAGCTGAATCGTAATGAATCTACAGCTTTGCTACTGGAACTGAATGGAATTGTACAGAGCCTGCCAGAAAAAAGGACAAAAACCAGACTACACAATATTTGACTTGTAATATAATCCTTCACATCCCTCTTGCAGTATGGTGCTATTGTGCTTATTGCGTCTGTAAAGTATCGATTGGAGGGAGGAAAAGGATCAAAATGCAACAGGCAGCACAGTGCCAGCCATCAGAATACTGAAGTACCTCCATAGTCAAAAAATACACAGTCCTGGCAAAAACTGACTTCACACAACAGGACACCGTGACATACAAAGTCCCCACCAAAGGAGGATTAGGGAAAAAGGGCTACTAGCTCAAAGACATCTGCTGAGACACAACCAAGCCTTGCTAGTTTGACGGTAACAAGTCCAAGTGGAGAAGTAATTGTCTAGTACCAAGTTCATTGCTTAAATGTTCAAGCTGCAGAAGGAGGACAGCAGTTACAAGGACCACCACACTTCCTCTCTGCAGGTAAAATGTGCTGTGCACTTTGTGCCACGCAAGCACTGGATCCCCCTCCACCAGGGAGGGCTTTCACACACCAGCAGAAGCAGAAATCACAGTGTACCCACACACACCTGAGTGTCCCCTACCAGGACACCTCACCCCACCTCCTCCCTCCTCATCTGACAACGAGCACTGAGGTTTGAGAAGTTTCCAGGAGCACCCATAGCCCCACAGACACAAGAAGAGCCAGACTTGGTGGTAACAACCAAGTGGCATCACAAAGGAAGCGCCAGAGCCATCGATCGCAGAGAAATAAATGGGTCGTGGGTGACCACCAGCCAGGATGAGATGTGCCAGAGAGGAAGCAGGGTGGCTGCTTATTTGCCCTCTCTCTAACCACCAAACACACTGCATTTAGAGCACAGGACACTCAGTATCCTGCCTGTTAAGTTGGGGAAGGTGGGATAGGCAACTTAGGAAGGGGGAGAGACCATCAACAGCTAAATACAGTGGTTGCATAAAGCAAAACAAGACCCTCCTTTTAGGTAGCAAAAACGGGTCCCGAACCGCAGATGGTGCAAAACAAGAGGCGTCCCCTATTCCTCCCTCTCAGCCCGGGGCAGGTACGCATGGGCATCGCATCACTCGGCAGGGCTGCGCTGCGATCCGGTCCCAGACCCCACTATCGGGACCGCATCCCCCGGGGCTGGCTCCCTTCCCCATTTGCTGAACGCTTCCTCCTCCTTGGAGCGGGACCCCCGCCCTTGGGAGCCCTCGGGACAGTCCCGTCCCCCCCACGCACACACCCTCGGGAGCGGATCCCCGCTCCTGGCCCCGCTCCCGGGAAACGCCAGCTCGGAGCTGCCTCCAGCGCTCCGCAACCCAGCGCCGCGCGTTCCCATGCGTGGGACCAGTGACCCACAGCGACCCAGTGATCCGTCACCCCCAGAGCCTCTCCCTACCCCCGCCGCGCACAGGGCACCCTCCGCACCTTTGTACTTGTCCATGGGGCCGCAGCCCGCCGGCTCCCCCGAGCCTCCAGAGCCCTCCGCTCCGCCGCGCTCCTGTAGCCTCTTATTCCGGCAGCGCCGTATCCCTCGACCGGACCGGGCTGCCCCGCCCCGCCCGCCCCGCCCCGGAGCCGCGGAGATGGCCGGGATGGGGGCTCCGGGATGGGGAATGGCGATCTGGGTCCGGGATGGGGATCTGGGATTGGGGATTGGGGAATAGGGACCGGGGACCGGCCCCGCGCCTTGTCCCGCACGGCGTAGCCCCCTCGGCCGCCGGTCCCCTGGGGAATGAGCTGGGTTAGGGCGGTGAGAGGAGGAGGAAGAGGAGGAGGAGAAGGAGGAAGGCGGCTGAGGTGCTGGGCTGAGGACCTGGGGGGCCGTGCTGTCCCCTGTCTGCTCCCCGTGTTTGCGCTGGATGAAGACGGGATTTGGGCAGGTTCAGAGAAAGGCTTTGGTTATCCCTTTGGGATAGCTGTGTGTGGTCCAGGTGGCTCCCAGTGCGAAGACCCCAGGCAGGATCCACCAGCGACCCCCCTCCTGTCCCGCTCTGGGCTGAGGGGTTGGGTTCCGCTTCCACCTGGTTGTAACGCCGAGCCAGAGTCTGCACTCTCCCTTTCCAGCGGCTTCATTAAGGCTTCCTGCCTCCTGGATAGCACAGCTCGCACAGGAGGGTGTTCCTCTGCTTGGGTTCCTGTAAAGTTTCTGCCTGAGTTCCTCCACTGCAAACAGAGCTCAAGCATGGCCAAAGTGCACAGAGTGACAAAGGAAGAAGTGAGCATCCAATCTGACCTCAACAGAAGGTGGCAATCTGTCCTGGGGCCAGTATTGTGGAGGCACTGCAGGAGTTCAATGTTTATAGCAATAAAGAAAACATTGGAAGATACAATACACAAGGTCGACAGTGATTATAGAGGAAGTTTTCTCTCCAGAATTAAGCCGTCAGCTTGGGGACAAAGGAGCTGTACCTGCCTGTACAAGGCCTTCCTGGCAAGAGCAGAGGCTAGGCATCCAACCGGGATGGGCAGCTCCATCCGATTCCTGCAGGAAAGATACAACCATTACCTAGAAAATCAACTGCTCCCCTTGGGAGCTGAAAAATAGGGAACCATAAATCAGCTCTGCATCATTCACCAGAGCTGCATCCACGGGCTTTCTGTGTGAGCATCTAGTCCTCCTTCCACTGACGGATGATGGTCACACCAAGCTCATGTTGTTCTGAGATTAATCCTCATCCCACTGCTTTGGCACTCAGGGGCCTCACAGGCTTTGCGTCAGGGCAATCCCAAGCACGTATACAGGCTGTGTGGAGAGTGGATTCAGAGCAGCCCTGAGAGCAAGGACTGGAGGGTGTTGGCTGATGAGAAGCTCAACACGACCTGTCCATGTGCACTCACAGCCCAGAAACCAAACACATCCTGGGTTGCATCAAAACCACCATGAGCAGCAGGTCAAGGGAGGGGATTCTCCCCCTCTGCTGTGCTCTGGGGAGAGCCCCCCTGCAGTCCTGATCCAGCTCTGGGGCAACAGCACAGGAGGGATATGGAGCTGTTGGAGCGAGGCCAGAGGAAGCCATGGAGATCCTGTGAGGGCTGGAGTGGTTCTGTTCTGGAGTCAGGCTGAGAGAGCTGGGCTGGGTCAGCCTGGAGAAGAGAAGGCTCCTTAAGGGGAGACCTTAGAGCAGCTCCAGTGCCTAAAGGGGCTGCAGGAAACCTGGAGAGGCGCTTTGGACAATGGCCTGTAGGGACAGGACAAGGGGAATGGCTTTAAACTGAAAGAGAGTAGAGTTAGATTAGGTATTAGTAAGAAGTTCCCCCCTGTGAGGATGCTGAGGCATTGGCACAGGGTGCCCAGAGAAGCTGTGGCTGCCCCATCCCTGGCAGTGTTCAAGGCCAGGTTAGACCTGCTCTAGTGGAAGGTGTCCCTGCCCGTGGCAGGGGGTTGGAGCTGGATGAGCTTTAAGGCCCTTTCCAACCCAAACCAGTCTGTGATTCTGTGACAAACAGGGCTTGGGCCTGGCTCAGGGTTTGGGATGTGGGCAGGAAGATGCTGCTGTGGCCTGCAATGGAAACAAATCTTTTCTTGCAGAGAACGGCGGGACAGGTTGGTGGGCTCCCCAAACCACACAGCTCCTTGCACACTGACTGCTCTGCAAGCTGAGCTCTTGGCCATCGACCCACATCTAAAGGTGTTAGTGCAACCGTGAAGTGACTTCTGCTGCATTCACTTTTCATATGAGAACAAGTTTAGATAAAGGGCTACTGCTGCTCAAGGGAGCTGAAGCTGGAGCATGTCTTATCTCTTGCCAGTACATAACTACCGCACTCAAAGACCGGCAAGCCAAATGCCTGAACCATCAGATCCAGCAAGCAGATAGCAGCCTACAATGACTGGAGAAAAAACAGGTTAAATAAATATATCTGTTATGTAGGAACACGCCTTTTAGAGCTCTTTCCAGCTACTTTTTGGCTCTGACTTTCAAGGTCCCCATCTTGCAAACTTGTGAAGGTTGCCTGTGTCTTGAAGCAGTTCATAGTCATTCCAAACTCAGCAAGACTAACTGAGGATAATACCAGTTAAACTAATTAAAGATGATTTGAAAGAGCAAGATGTCCGGTAGTTGGGATTCCTGTCTTCAGGCCCCAGAGCCTGTACATCCCCTGCTTGTCCCTTCCTTCTCCTCCTCAGCATTATAAGGATGCTCTGGAATTCCAGGACTGCTGGTTAGGCCCATGGCAATTACTGGGCAAGCAACAATGGGACAAATACTAATGCCAGAGGAATACAAGTTCTTCCCGTTTGTCTCCTTCTTCTTGCAGTAGGAAATACCTAAGCAGCATCTAGTGGAAGGTGTCCCTGCCCATGGCAGGGGGTTGGAACTGGATGAGCCTTAAGGTCCCTTCCAACCCAAACCAGTCTGGGATCCTGGGGATTAATAATACTGGGAAATACTCACACTTGGTATGAGGGATTAATATTCCCAGTGTTGGTGCTGAAGTCTAGGTGTTTGCCACTACACTCAGCTAGAGCAGATATTTATGTACTAGTTTTCCTGGTGGAGCTTCTTGAAGCCAATAAAATAGCAGCCATCTACCAGTGTACCCGTGTATCCCGTGCCTTTTTCCTGCTTATAATTAGTGATGCTCACTAATTATTATTATTATTGATGATTATTATTAGTGATGGCTCAGGTGTGACAAGCCTCGAGGACCCAGCTCACCCTGTTCGAGTCTTTTTTTAATGTGGATGGCATCCTATCCTTCAGTGCAGAGGATCATACTACAGATTACATGTTCTAATGGGTTTTCCCTGCATATTCATGCTGTATTAATAGACAGTGACTGCTGGTGAGATTATCACCTTTAACTAAAGTTCTCAAGCACGATGCTGTGGCTTTCAACCAATGTGAATCTGCTTCTCTGGCCTTACATCCTGTCACTTTAGCACTTCTGCTTCCTGTGAAATAGAAAAGGAATCCAGTGTCATTTTAGAAGGTAAAAGAACTCTATAAACAGTGATAATGATTTGTGGAATACCTTGTGCAGAAGCATGACCCTGATCCTCTCGTTTATTCACTGGTGATGCTAAGTGCTTTTTGTTTTTCCCCAAATACTGACACTAAGCAGGTGTTAGTGTTACTGCTGTTACACTTACCTTTTGGATCAGCAAAGTCTTTGATGTCTAATATTTGTCTATGTCTTTGCTATGACTTTCTTCTCTTTGGTTGCATTTGACTTGCTCTTTTCTTAAGCATAAGTCAAAGCCTGGTGAAGTTACTGACCTCTCCCTTGTGAAAGCTGGGGGGGACCCCTACAGTGACAGCTTACGTACAGGTGCCCTCCACCGGCATCAGGGAATTGGTGCTTGGTGGCATCACACCTGACCTGGACTGTGCAGGGCTGCTCCCTGGGATATTTCCTCCCAGATGCTGTTCATCTCAATTGCAGCAGCCCACAGTGGTCAGGATTCTGCCTTTCTTCAGGGGAAACATTCCAGCTGGCAGAACAAAAGGTATAAACTTCCTCCACACATGAAGGGTACCTGTCATTACACAGGGCTCCTCTTTCTCTCTTCCCCATGCCCTTATCAAGTGTGAAAGCCCAGTTCAGGAGTCTACTCAGCAAGACCAAGCTCAGTCAGGAGTAAAATTAACTTGATCTTGTTAAGCTCCTGAAGGATGGGGAGCCATGTCAGATACTCCACTCGTGAAGGCACCTGGAGGACAGATGGAGAAAGAAGCTGGCTTGGCAGACTAGGGTTAGCAGTGATATGTGCTCAGATCAATGGGGGTGTGCTGCTGTCCTCTTTTCTTCCAAGCATCACCTCAGGTACCCACTTAGCGAAGGGTGTAACATCACTGTGGACAGTTGTGGTCAGGCAGGCATAAAACTACTTCAGAGCAGTTGACATGAGAGGTCTGAGCAGATGTTAAAGCTGAGGGGCTTCCTGTGAGTAAGGAAAAAGCCAAAGGCTTCTTCACTTTGGCATCCCTGGCCACAATGCTGGGCTATACATCTGCCATAACCCAAGGGGGAAGAATTCCTTTTGTCCACACATGGATCCCTCTGAACAGCAACAAAGCCTGTGGACCTAGGTGCAGCCAACAAAACAACTGCTGTCTCTGAAAGGGAAAAGTCTCTTTCTCTTTCCTCCCCCTGCTTCTGGCCAAATGATCTCTCTTCTAGTATCATTTTCACAGTTACCAGATCAATTTCTATGCTGAAATAGTGGAGAACTAAAATGTCCCCTCCTTCTCCCAGCTGAGGAGCCCCAGCTGGGTCGCAATACAGTCAGGAAGAACTGGGGCAATACCAAGTAAGTGGCAAGTACCTACAGCTGGAATGAAAGAGGAGACCAAATGAGCATGTTAACGCAAGCAGGTGGGATACACAGCTGGGACTAGGTAAAAGGGATCATCAGTCACAGGCTCAGGTGCCTGCTTAATTGTCCCCCCGATCTCTCCTCTAAGCCAGCAGCACAGAGTAGACACGGACAGGAGATCAGTGTGTTTATGGAGCTCCCACCAATGTGTCTGAGTCTTGATCCATTGAATTCTGCCTGTATTCCAGATTTTCTGATCTGGGGGTGAGGAGAAGAGTTGGTGTTGGGAAATTGAATGGAGCCCTC